CCTCCTGCCGAACTCCTGAACGTGCGAAGCGTAACATACCAAAAGTTAAAAGCTATTTTCGCAAATGTGGAACCTGATCTAGGACCAGGTCTATGATAACTCAAAAGTACTAACATCAATGTAAATATGTTTAGGAAACGGTCCTGAGAAAATACGCACTCTAACTGATTAAAAATCGTGTTTCTATTAAGCAATTAGATTATGAGCTCGAGATTTCTATTACGTGATAGTTGACGAGGGCGTAGCCCGAGTCAACTATCGCGTATAGAAATCGAGAGCGAATCAGAATCTAATTGTTTTAGTATAAATCTACTAGTCGTTCAAACTTTCTCGAAATCCTCTTCACAGACACTTCGAAAACGCCAAGAAGCGGGCGTTATTTTTATTCGATTATTCGCTCTCGATTTCTATTACGCGATAGAAATCTCGAGCTCATAATCTGATTGTTCAATAGAAACACGAGTGGAAGTTTGGGAGAACGAGAAATGCGGTGGGAACACGAGCCGCAGGCGAGTGTTTCCACAGCTTTTTCGAGTTCTCCCAAACTTTCACGAGTGTTTCTATAACTCGATAGAAACGTGGAGAACATGTTTTCTATTTCTTTTAGAAAACACCGCGACGAAAAAAAAGAAAAACAGCTTGTTTAGTTTGATCATCAAAATTAAAATTCCTTTTGCTAGCGCCATCATTACGTCAACAGCTCGTGTTAGTTCTGTGTTTCCATCGAGTTATATAGAAACACGATTTTTAACCAATCAGCGCGCGTATTTTCTTAGGGCTGTTTTATAAACAATAGATAGCCGAGTAGCGTGGCCAAGAGAGAAAGGCATTCGTGATAGAACGGTAGTACATTTATACTACAGCTCGATAGAAACACGGTGCATGTTTTCTATTTCTTAAATAGAATAAAATTTGTGGGCACTCTCCACTGCGCGCCGTACAGAGCTCCACAGATTTGCCAAATATTCGCCATTTTAGTCGTAAACAAAGATAACGACGGTCGCAC